CCCACTCCCGCCATTTCCAAATTGTCCTCTTGCACATGCGCACCCCTCCTACGTGACAACTTAACCTATGTATTTTAACGTGATTCCTGCATTTTCTTCGTGGCATTTTAAAATTTACATTTATTTCTGCTAGCCGCAACATTGTTTCATGTTAAGTATCCTCGTACATCACTTTTATATTTAACGATGTAAGTATTTCCATAATGACTTATGAGAACTATTTTAATTTGTTAATGACATAACCTCAAAAATTATAATTTATTGTTTTGTACATCTTTAATGTTTTCGTTATTGCTTGTAGACCTCCGATGATGGTCCAATAGTGACCGAAACATGTCAGGTTGATATAACATTTAAAATAAAACCAGTTGTAAAACATTTCTTTTGGATTTTATTTCTTCGTCACACTGGTTAAAATTATGGAGCCACATATTCAACAATTTGAAAGAATACCAGATCGATAGAATCAAAATTCAATACATGCGTAAAACTTTGAATAGGCACTATAAGAAATTAAACACACTCAACATGAAGCTCTATACAAATTATCAACAACTAAATTATCATTACCATCACCTCATAATCGAAGGAATTATAAAAGAAGCTAAGAAACATGACATTCTATTACTGAACGAGATACGTAAGAAGAAATGCAGAAAGCTTACAAAACTAAAGAATGAACAACATAAAAAAGTAGCATCCCAACTGGACTTTAAGGGCTATTACGCACTGTTGACTGTAACTTTCTATAGTTTAAATAGGTATTTACGCACTTGGTCGTCGGAGCAACTGTCGCGACGACCGAACATCACGCACAAACTGGCTCAGGCTTTCGATACAGAAAAATTTATAGTAGAAATAGAATTCCGAAAAGCTATTTGGGATTTATCGAGTGACGAATATTCCAATAGAGATTTGAAGAAAAAACAGCGATTAATATCAATAATATCATTAATATCAACAACATTAACATTAATATAGTATGACTTGTGTCACTACTATTACACTGGACAACAGCCAAAAAGTATCTAAAATAAAATCAACAAAACTTTACTATTTTTGGTGTGCTGATTCCGAAAATAATTTTATTTTTGCAATATTAGTTCACGTTTTAGAGATACGTGATGCTACATGACCCTACATAATAAAATATAATAATACTGTAACTGGAAAAAATGCACGTGGTATAGTCGTAGATTCCGCGAGAACACATGATGCAATCGGCATGATAGTGTTACGTCAGGTATAAATTATGTTGTTTCAGCTATACTTTCTCAGTTGCCAGCCAGCATTCACGTAAGATGTCTCGAAAGTGTGTAAACAGTCCGGATTACTTCTGTTACGTTTGTGGTGAAGTGACTTTTGCGTCTCAGAAGCGGTCTATTACTCCATTGATAAAAACTGCATATCACCTTTACTTCGGTTGCAAAATAGGGGATCAAGACAAACAGTGGGCTCCCCATATCTGCTGTAATTCATGTGCTTCAAGTCTGAGAAACTGGTTAAATCGTAAAAAACGTTCTATGCGCTTTGCTGTCCCAATGGTCTGGAGAGAGCCTACAAATCATGTTAACGATTGCTATTTTTGCATGACACCTCATGTTGGGCAAGGCACAGGTATATCCAAGAAAAAAAAGTCGGTTATTAACTATCCAAATATACCATCTGCCATAAGACCTGTACCCCATAGTGACGAACTTCCTATTCCAGAACCCCCAGAAAGATACGGTTGCGAATCAGATAACAGCGATACAGAGATTAGTCAAGAAGATATGCCTACAACATCAAAAGACCCTGATTTTACATCGAGCACATCACACCGTCAACCGCATAAAATTACTCAGTCTGAATTAAATGATCTTGTGAGGGATCTAGAACTTCCAAAAACTAAAGCAGAGTTGCTAGGATCAAGATTGCAGCAGTGGAACCTATTAGAAGACGATGTCTCTGTATGTGTTTTTCGCAAACGCCATAAAAACCTAGCACCATTTTTTGACATGGAGAATAACTTGGTTTTCTGCAATGACATAAACGGCTTACTAGCGGCTTTAAATATAAACCACAAGCCAAAGGAATGGAGATTGTTTATAGACAGTTCAACATTGAGTTTAAAGGCAGTACTATTGCATATTGGAAATATTCTACCTTCTATTCCTATTGGATATGCAGTTCACATGAAAGAGTCATACGACAACATGAAATACTTACTGACATGCATAAAATACGATGAGCACCAATGGCAAATCTGTGGCGACTTAAAGGTTGTTGCACTTTTACTCGGTTTGCAACTAGGCTACACCAAGTTTTGCTGCTTTTTGTGTGAATGGGACAGTCGGGCAAAGGCACTACATTACAAGAGACAAGACTGGCCCGTTCGACAATCACTAGAGCCAGGCCAAAAGAATGTACAGCATGTGCCATTGGTAGACTCTAAAAAGATTTTGTTGCCACCACTGCATATTAAATTGGGCCTAATGAAAAATTTTGTCAAGGCACTAAATAGAGATGGGCCAGCTTTTCAATACCTGCGTCAGAAATTCCCAAGGCTAAGTGAATCAAAAGTGAAAGAAGGTATTTTTGTTGGGCCACAGATTCGAAACATTTTGAAGGACGAACAATTTGACAACACCCTAACAGATATTGAAAAAAATGCTTGGAATGACTTTCGCTTGGTGGTCACCAATTTCTTGGGAAACCAAAAAGCTGACAATTACGTTACTCTTGTTAAGAATATGCTGTTATCGTATCAAAAAATGGGTTGTAATATGTCTCTAAAGATGCACTTCCTACATTCACACTTGGACTTTTTTCCTGAAAACTGCGGAGCTGCAAGTGATGAACACGGCGAACGTTTTCATCAGGATATATCATATATCGAAAAAAGGTACCAGGGAAAGTGGAATCCTTCCATGCTTGCAGACTACTGCTGGACTCTTGTTAGAGATGCTCCAGAAACAATCTATAAAAGAGTAGCAAAAAGACAGCGCTATAACTACAGTCTAAAAGTGCACTTTTAAATAGTGTAAAAATACCTATTTCTTTTTTTAGTTTGTTAAAAATAAAATAAAAATGTGTTCTTAAAAACTGCAACTAAGTTTTAAATTTCATTGTCATATTTGTATTCAGCACCCCAAAAATACCTAAAAAAACGTACTTTTCAAAGACGATACAGCAAATAAACCAAAATTTGTTGTCCAGTGTTATTTAATGAATTCTGCTCATCTGCCAAGATAATTGACCCTCCGTCATAAAATAATCAGCAAAGAAGTCTCTATAGGATATACCACGTCGCGTAGTTCTTTGGATACCATTTGGCACTTCTTCTAAGCCAGGAATGGCCAAGGCATCTTCAAATTTGTAACATCTTCGAATTGTTAATTTGAGAGAATTTATTATTGTATGGAAGTCAATGGAGGACAATTTGAACATTTGGTTTAAAAACGCAGATTTGATTTTTTGATTGTGAAAAATAAAACAACATGATAAAACAATTCAATTTTTTTATTTATAAACAAAATATTCAAGGTTGCTCATTTGAGCTAAAAAATTGATTTTTGGCGAAAACGGTTCATCAAATTTACGTTTTTCATACACCGTTGTAAAGAGGCTTCCAAGACCTTCCAAATGAAGTATCACTCATCTCAACCCCTCTTCCCTATTCAATATTGAGGGGTTGGCTCGTCTGAGATGAAACACCCTGTATAAAACAGTTTTGTAATCTGGGTCCTATTTTATAAAGTTACAGGCTACACGTATCAAAATAACAAAGCTGTGACTTACCTTAGTGTTATAAATAGTTTTTCTTCCGGAGGACTGGGTCGCATATTAGTATCTGTGCCAGTTATGTGTGGTTTCAGAAGACACAATAGCTCATCAAACGAACCCACAGACATTACATTACATACGTGGATACTTTCTTATGTCTTCGTAAAATATTTTAACACTCATTTTATTCTCCGTTCTTGCAGCAAGGGATGTATCCAACACTTGCTTTTCTTTTTATCTTTAAAATTAGCAACGCTACTAATATTGCAACTTCTTCGGCGTTCATTCTGCACGCATGTACAAGAATCACTATCTCCAATTCAGTCGCTCGGTTTGGTCCCCATCCTTTGTTGCCTATGTGTTGGTCGCCAAGAGAACAAGTCGCTGGCGACCAGTCGACAGTGCGTAATAGCCCTAAAAAGTCTTCAGAGTAAAAGCTCCGGCCGCTTAAAAACCTTAACGTACTTAACGTGGACAGAACACGTTAGAAAAGGTGGAACAACAATTGACAAATACAATATTATCGACACGTGGACGTACGATAGATTTTTGGAAAGCAGGGAACAGTCATTACAGGTAACAACTAGAGCTGAAGCAAACCGTATGTATTCGGTACTGAGTAACGGGTACGCCACCTAGTACCGAGATACGAAACGTTACTGGCAAATGCATTTCGTTTCGTTACTCGTATCCACTCGTATCTGTCGTATCCCTCGGTACCTAGTACCTACCTTCACTGTTATTATCTGTTATAGGTTATGCACTTGCGTGAATGTGTTCCATTGACGTATAACGTTACTTAAACGTTATAGGTGAATTTAAAAACGTTTGTAACAAAGTTTGAAATTGGAATAAAAACAAGGTAAGAAAATATTTTATATACATTAGAAATATGTACCTATGTTTTTGTTTTTTAATATCGCATATTTTCAAAATTTATCTGATCCAATGAGATTTAATTGTTTCTTGGTTAACAAAAGCTGTTAAATTTGATTATTATAAATTGTTATATTCGATTTATTATTATTTACACTTTTCTATTCTGTTTGACAGCTGAATTTACTTGCTATAATGGATAAGAAAAGAAGTAAAGTATAGAGTTTTTTTTACGCAGACTACTAAAGATGATAAGGTTAAATGTGATCTTTGTAACTCAATGTACTCGGTAAAAGGCGGTTCTACTACAAATTTAAAAAAGCATCTCATGAAAAAAACACAGATCGACGTATGAAACAATGATTCCATGCTCCGATTTAGATGCACAAGTTTTGGAAGCTCCTATAACATCCACTTCAGCGAGTGCAGAATCTACTAATCCTGTAATTAAAACAAAACATACCAACACACAGCAGACTAAGTTAAGTGCCTTTATTAAACGTCCAGTAGGTGTAGAAAAAGAAAAAAAAATTAATGATTTAATTTTTAAAATGGTAATTAAAGATCTTCAGCCTTTTTCAGTCGTTGAAGACGTAGGTTTTAAAGATCTCATTAATTACTTAGAACCAGGCTACAAAATACCTTCAAGGTACATACTAAGCAATACTATATTGGATGCTCAATACTCTGAAGTCAAAAACAAATTAAAAGAAGAATTGGTGGCCGCAAAATATGTATCAATCACCACCGATGGCTGGACTTCAAGAGCAACAACGTCTTATCAAGCTGTAACAGCCCATTATTTATTAAATTGGGAGTTAAAATCTGGATCTGCTTTATTAGGATGTTTTGAATGTCATGAGCGTCACACGGCCGAATATATTAAAAATGAGCTGTATAGTTTGATCACATGGAACAGTACCCTAGACATGATTGAGAGGATTTGTTCACTTCAAGAGCCATTAGAAGCTTCTCTTGGAATTTTACACAACCCAGTTGAAAATCTTCTGGAAGACGAATGGCAGACACTGCCTGAAATAATAAAAATTCTAAAGCCTTTTAAGCAACTCACTGAAGAAATGTCTTCAGAAATAAAAGTGACTGTTTCATTGGTTCTGGCTTCGACAGAAAGCATGATTAGCATTTTTGACAATTTAGATAGAAGTTTAATTACAGATACAGGAAAGAAACTGGCAAATAAAATAATAACGGAATTTCAAGCTAGATTTAAAAATTATTACAGGCACCCAGTTTTATCTAAAGCAGCACTGCTAGACCCCCGTTTTAAGAAGCTGGCATTTAGATTTGATGCATTAAGTTACAAGTCTGCCAAAGATGCATTGAAAACTGAGCTGCAAAACGAATTCAATTCTCATCAAGAATCAACAGAACCCACAGAAAATGAATCGACATTAGCTATATCTACTGGTGACACCGATATCGATAACGACTGTATATGGAAAGATTTTGACGCATTGGCAACGTCAGCGTCTGCTACGAACTGTACGAACTCAGTTAGTAGCAGCACAATTACAATGAGACAATATCTAGAAGAACGCATTATTCCTCGAAACGAGTGTCCTTTAAAATGGTGGCAGGCACGGGCAATTCTATACCCCGAACTCTCAAACTTGGCCGAGAAATATTTATCTGTGATGGCTACCTCAGTACCATCTGAAAGAACTTTTTCCAAATCGGGCCAAATATTAAGTGAAAGGCGCAGCTCTATTCAGCCAAAGCGAATGGAAAAGATTTTATTTTTAAATATGAACCAGAGATTCCTACCATAATTTTTTTTTATTTAATATGTGTTTAAAATATTTTTAATTATGTTTAATTTCATTCTAAGAATAAAAGATTATTGACGTGGTTTTAATTTTGTTTTATTTAGTTTACGAGCTTTATCGTTATAATTGATGTATTACCACGGTTAAAATTTTCAAAATAGTAAATCCACAACTAATTTAGTATATTCCATCTCCAGTTACAATTTACCTATGAAAACACGGAAAAGTGAAAAAATGCAGCTTGGTACGTTTCTACGTACAAATTACGAATGTTGCAACTATACGAAGTATACGATGATACGACTCGATTCGTTGCTATAAATAGACATGCCATCTCATGAGATATCAGAAGTAACGAGTACGGTAACGATACGAAAGTAACGAGTACTCATTGTTATACCGAGAGATCAAAAAAGCCGGTCCGCTAAAAACTACTTTCCCAAGCGCTTGATACCAATACTTACTGCCCTCGTCACAGCCTCCTCCCACCTCTACTTGTTTTTAATTTTCAACGTTCTTATTGGTCGACGAGATGATATAGATTTTTAGTTTCAATGGTTTCGACCAGCTGAGCTCAGAGCAGTCGTGTTCTTGGTTTTGGCGTTCGGTGTTTCCAATATTTCATTTTGAATTTATTGCGATTTTATTTAATATTATCTGTCTTTATTAAGACAAAAATTCGATTGTGATTTTTCTATAAGGTAAATAATTATTTTATTTTAAATCGGTTTGGTATAAATTTCGTTGATTTATTTTTAGGTTAAATCATGCCGTTCAGCTTAGAAGAAGACAAGTTTCTTCTCCGATCTTATCTTCGAAATGGAGTAAAAGATCAAAATGGGGTATGGAAATATTCAACAGGTCTTTGTGTAGAGGAATTTAGAGAGACATTCCCTGAAAATGTAGTGAATTATGAAACCTTATGTCATCACATTAGGAAAGTTGTCAAACGCTTTGATGATTCTTGAAGTGTTGGTCCTGGAAAAAGCCCTGGTCGACCGAGAATTAACTGAAGAAGTTGTTGAAGACATTCGAACCCGTATGGAGCTAAGTCCCCGGAAACCTTTACGACAATTATCACAACAAACAGGATTGTCCTANATGCAATGCATGAATTTTGTTATTGGGACAAACTGCTTCAACCTGTGCAAAAGTTTGGACGAGAAAAGGCTGAAATAAAAAATTACGCCAGCACTAAGGAAGCGCGACAGAAGCTATTGGCAGCCAAAAAAGCTAACGAAGACAGCTTCCATGAAGTCGAAGGAGAGTTGTATGGTGCTGGGATAGCTGATTAATTAAATGGTAAAGAATTTAATCATTATTTATCAATTATACGACTTTAAACATAAGTTTAATGATGATTAATGATTATTAATTGTAATTCCATTATTTTATGATTAAAAAATTACTTTTTTTATAGTTTAAATATAGCTCTACAACGTATAAAAAAATGGTTTTAGTTTCGTTCATATTTGGGGGAGAAAAAAATTCGTAAACTTTGCTTGTTTTTAGAGCGGTCCCCCAAGCTCAAGGTACGGTCCCCCCTTAAGCAACTCACTGAAGAAATGTCTTCAGAAATAAAAGTGACTGTTTCAATGGTTCTGGCTTCTACAGAAAACATGATTGGCATTTTTGATAATTTAGATAGAAGTTTAATTACAGATACAGGAAAGAAACTGGCAAATAAAATAATAACGGAATTTCAAGCTAGATTTAAAAATTATTACAGGCACCCAGTCTTATCTAAAGCAGCACTGCTAGACCCCCGTTTTAAGAAGCTGGCATTTAGATTTGATGCATTAAGTTGCGAGTCTGCCAAAGATGCATTGTTGAACTGAGCTGCAAAACGAATTCAATTCTCTTCTTCTCGCTCCGCCAAGATGGTCACATGTAATTCTTAACTTTTAACACGTAATTTTCAAGAATATTTTATACAATCATCGCTTTTCATTCATTTCATTACAAATTTATCACACGCTTCACGTTTTACATTACCTCCATTTTGTTTTTTAATGATTAACGACGCATTTTATACTTTGGATGTTACTTATGATTAATTTTTTCAATTTTTCAAACTTTTCAAATTTCAAATGAATATGCCTGTTGGCTTCACCTTTTGACATTTTCGGCTGAAGATGAAGTGATATACTTCGAAACCGGTACCGATTTAAATTAAACAATTTATGCAAGTGCGAAGTTCAAATATTGTCTTTTATTTCCTTATTCAAATTTCATTTTTACTTGCAACATGGATATTTCTCATAATTGAAGAAAAGCCTCATCCGATAAAATTATTTTTTGCGAGTATGGCAGAAACTGTCATGACATTTCCACCAGCGCTAGCTGCTCGGGCTAAAATGCGAGTAATGGAAGTAATAAGTGAATTAGAGCTGGAAAGTTATGGAATCAGTTCTACGTCATCGTATGGCTCTCTAAACCGAGTGTCTGGCCCTACCGGTCTTTTGAGTTCTACTCCATCGTATACTCCTGCAAGGCGAGACTCTGATGCTACAACAGCTTATACAGACTCGAGTTACGCGACACCAAGTTCCGTTGAGCAACCGAGAGAGTACGAAGAGTGTGCTGATTTATTCAGCAGCACAACTTTTTAGTTAAGACAATAAAGCTTGTATTTGTTTGTATTACTTTTATTAATAAACGTTACTGGATATCAGTTCTAGTAATGTGCCTCATTTGCCCCCCAACACTTCCCAATCTACTATTGAAATAACCTTTAAAAGCATTTCTGTTTTGAAATGGTGCTCCTGAGGTATTCCCACCTGTGTAACGTAAAGGTACCATATTTTCGCTGGCCATTAGAATATCAATATCATCTTCTTTTTGATTAGCTGTACGTGAACCTCTGAGTAAATTGTGCAAACAACATGAAACCATGACAATATCATCTACGAGTGTTGGACAAGTTGCAATAGGTGTATAAAATATCCGAAAAGTTTGACATAAAATGCCGAACGCATTCTCCGATGTTCTTCGGGCTCGACTCAGACGATAATTAAATATTTTCTTCTCTCTGTCTGCGTAAAAGGGGTAAAACAGTCGGCTCTGGTAAAAAGTTGTTACTATGTACGATTCGGTAAATAGAAGATCTTTGCAATATTCCACTATCTCCTTCTTTACCATAGGCACCAACATCAACGCATGTGAATTTGTACCCAGCATCAATTATTGCCAATAAGACAAAAGAAAAATATGATTTATAGTTAAAGTATAGGCTTCCACTTTTTTTCGGGCAAAGTATGCGAATATGTTTTCCATCTATTGCTCCACAACAATTTGGAAAATTCCATTTAGCGTCAAAATCGTGAGCTTTTTGTTTCAAATCTGCTTTTGTAGGGTTTGGTAAATAAATCGGGAGCAACTTCATATGCAGTATTTTCAAAACTTCTCTGATGATTTTACTTATATGGTTATGAGATATTCTAAAATTAAAAGACATCGACCGAAATAACTCTCCGGTAGCAAGAAAATTGGAACAAACCGTACCTATACATTTACGCACATACTTTCTTATAATCGTGATTTTCTATAGTTGTTGAAATTAACAAAGTACATAAGCTTACCTCAGGGTCAGCGCAAGCTTCTGACAAGGTGAAATAGGATATTTTACAAACGTAGAGGGCATTGTTGTTATATTTTCAGATATATATGACAGTACATTGAAAAACTGGCTCTTAGTGAGCCTAAAATATTCTTTAAATTTAGTTTCATCATCCATTAAATGCCTTTGAATCAGTGTATTGAAACATCCCTCGCTTATCCTATTCAGAAAAATTTTGTTGGTTTGGCGTCGTAGTTTACACATAGTCGTCAGTACAGCTTGTTCTTCTTCTTCTTCCTCTTCCTCTTCTAGTAATGCTATTGCAGCTAATACCACATTGTTCATCATTATTTTTAAATTACAAAGAACAACACTGCATTAAACAACACTTGTCAATAAGGAATCACACTCGAATGAATCGTTTCCACTAATCTTTGGAATAGAGACCATGCCTGAACGACTTATCGCCGCGTTTACTCTTATCGTTTGTTCGCTTCGACTAATCGCTGCAGATAGACCGTACCTTAATACTGGTAAAATGGATTACACAATCAAGAATGATCATCAATGGATTTTGTTACGTGGATTTTGGTATACCAAGTGAAGATGATGACCGTGAACCAGCATCAGAGGCATTAGTTTTTATGGTAGTTAGCTTCACACAAAAATGGAAATTACCAATAAGCTACTTTTTTATAAAATTCTTAAATGGAAAAGAAAAAGCTAACCTTGTTAAAGAAGCTTTAATAAGATTAAATGTAGTGGGCGTCATAGTTCCATCAATTACTTGTGATGGACCAAATACTGCAGGATTGCATCTTCATGGAAGGACGGCATTTATCGGACACTCTGTTTCATAATTAATTATTTTCTGTTTTCTAATAAAACTTCCATCCATTAACTACCACTGGTGCTTTTCTCAACCTAATACCACAAAAATTAAAAATTTTGCGTCAAGTTCAAATGTGGTCGTTCAATCTCCGCCAGCCTGTACTAACTTTGACATGTTAAATTCTATTAACCCATTTGCTAAAAATTTTAAATCACCCCTTCGACAGGGACACGAATTTTATTGGAGACCATATTTGTTATGTACCAAAAATGAACTATTCTAATTAAGAGATAGCTCGGGAAACTACACCCGTCGAGAAAAAAAACTCCCATAATTGGTATGCTCATAACCATAACTTCAATTCACACCGTTAAATAAACTTTTAAAGAAGAATCAACGTTGGAATTGGACCGAAGAACAAGAAGAAGCTTTCATCGCTCTTCAAACCGCTCTTACAAACACACCTGTTTTAGCATGCCCGGATAAAAAATTTAATTTACAACCGACGCCTCGAATCAAGGACTAGGAGCAGCTCTAACACAACCCAGCGGTGACGGTGGTAAACGTATCGTAGCTTATGCTAGTAGATCTCTTTCTTAGAAAAACTAGAAAAACTATTCA